AATAATAATAATAATAATAATAATAATAATAATAATAATAATAATAATAATAATAATAATAATAATAATAATAATAATAATAATAATAATAATAATAATAATAATAATAATAATAATAATAATAATAATAATAATAATAATAATAATTGAAATTCATTTTGTCGTACCAAATTCTTGAAACACAACTAATTTATTGCTCATTTCACTATCGATGAGTCATTTTTTCTAACCAGAATTTATCGAAAATCAAATGCAACAACGTTGAATAATCTTTCAAAAGAGGAGAGGATAGAATAAGTTATAAGTAATAAAGGAAGGAAAGGAAAGGACCAAATTTCCTTCACTAATTTCCAATTTCTCCATGAAATATTTTCAAGATTTTAGTAATAAGAAACTATTCCCTTCTCCATTCAATCGTCTAATAGGCATAGAAAATCACTTTCTATTACTCATTTTGAAGTATCATAGAATGATCGATGCGACGCAGAAATCAGTGACCTATTCATCTTTTACCCTTTTTGTTGATTCACTAAAAAATTTTATATTCACTCAAAAAGTGGTGAAACATGTTTAACGTCATCCGAACACTAAACTTTTTTCGATTATGATGAATGTGAAATATAAGAGATATGATTGCATCAAAATATCAGACATTCTGCAATGTTATCATTAAATCATGAAGCTTATCTCCTTTATTATCAAACTCTTAAAACTGATTTTATCCTTGTTTCATAATCGCAATCATCGAAAAGTTTGCATCCAATTTTCACGTTAGTGAATGTTTTTCATTCATGATCCCATATAAACTTCATTTTAATCCAAACGATTCAAAGCCTGCAAGTGCTCTCATAATTTTAATTTTGAATTAAAAGGATTTTCCTCTATGACTCATTTCGTGTTGTCCATTCATACAGTGCAGTTTATTATCATCGTTGTTGTTACTCCATTATAGAAACTAGGTTCCTGTTATTTTGTTTATTATGTTATCTCCTAATCAGTATTACCAGAATGCAAGATAGCTTATCATTTCACATGATCTGGTTTGAGGCTTTTTCGAGAAATAAACCCATTCGTTAGAACTCTTGAACATAATTATCAAGTTACAATATTTATTGTCTACTTAACTACAATCAATACAAGATTTTTTCCACTGCTATCACTGAAATGAACTTTTGTTTCAATTTTTGTTTTATGACCCCTAAATAAATTTCCTTATTTTAAGTTCCTTTATCCGAAAAACGAACAAATGTTAAATGTTTTGCATTTATTAATACATATTAGCGGAAAAAGTTCAAAAAATGAAGTTTGATTCATTAAAAAAATTCTCATTAAAATGGCTTTGGCTATGTTTATGTCATAAGAGAACCAGCCAGAGAGGGAATCGATCTTTCATTCCCATATAAAAAACGAATACCTGAAATCATCATTCCCATTGACTAGCAATTTCTTGTTTCCTCCTTTTCCAGAAGCAGAACTCTTCCATAACTTTTAAAAGCATTTAAGGAACTTTTAAACATCTTTGAAATATTCACATTTTCGTTATTCACTATGTAACATTTTGAATTTTATTATATTGAATAGTTTGAATATAACGGAAAAACACAGTTATGAATAGAAAAAAGACAGTTCAATATCATCTTGTATAAGAAGTGCTAATTTTGAACATAAAAATATATCAAATTAAGCTACTGAAATATGAAAATATGATAGTGATATCAAAAGTTAATTCCCTCGATATCCTTCTCTTAAGTTAGTTTCTAACTTGTTTCTTCAAATAAATTGAAATCTTGAAATTTCAAAGTTCGATTCATGCTATTCGCCTTTTGTAAGCATTCTTCAGAAATTTTTGGCGATGTAAAAGTTGAATTTAAATGCATCGGAAGTGATATATACCTTTCAGGATCATTCTGAAAGACAATTTTTTACCTAAAACTTTAGCGTACTTGGAGAATTTTTACGTTATTAACTTACTTATACCGCTTTTATTGTGTTTGAATGTCTGCTGAAAGAAATTTTTCATGTTTTTTGGTCTGAGAATGCCTTTTATGAATCATTTTCATTGCTATCGTTTTGGAAATCGCTTTTTATCAAAATTGTGCATTTCGAATCAATGATTTTGAGACTTTGGAAGTGAAATTTATGAAATTATTATCCCAGATTTCAAACGATTGCTTCGTTTTTCCCAATGTGAAAAGTTGACCTCAAAAAGTATTTCTGAATTTTTATTAACTTGAATTCTCTTAAGCTCTCATTAGTTTTGTCAACAATTTGAAGATTATGAACTTAAGATAAAAGGAGATTTATGTGATGGCGAATGTTCGTCTTATGCTTCAGAAGAGAATTTATCGTTTGAAGAGGAAAAACCAAATAAGTAAGATTCAGAGGAAGAGGAGCAATATGAAGATGATGACCAAGAATTTGAAAAGGACAGAGTTTAACTAATGGTAGTGACACCTGCGAAAAGCCGTCTGGATCGCATCTTCAGGTAAGGTATAATGATATTGAAAATTACGTCTTTTATCCGCTTTTTTTTTCTGAAGAATATTTCGAATGAGAAAAAATTTGAATATGTTTTGAATGACTGTGAAATTTAGGAAACGAACAGGATTTTCATGGTTATTTCAGGAATTTCTATGGATTTCATCATGGAATTATGTGCATCATTGATTAGTGGTAAGTTCCCTTGTTTCAAATGAAGCTGTTGGTTCAAATATTTATATTGAGCATTTGGATCAAGAAACGCCGATGTATCGAAGCTTTCGTAAGTTTAACTAATATTTTTAAAACCAATCGATTGTTGTGTTTGGAAACAGTTTAAATCACATTGAAATAAAATTTTTGTCAATTAAGTGCCCGTTGATAATTTATTAAGTATCAACCAACAGTTAACTGAAAACTTCTTGATGGAAACTTCTGGATGAAAATTTCTTGACCAAGAGCAAAACTTTTGTGCAGGATACTGGAAGAATCAAAAATGAAAGTTCTAATTTTTTAAAAATGGTCAATTTTCAAATATCTGTTCATTAGGATCGGCATAAAATTATACATTCTTTTCATTGCGTCACCGCAAAAGTGAATTCAAGGAAATATAAAGGATGAGAGATAACAAAGTGCAAGTAAAAGATTATGCGTTTTCAAAGTTTGCCAAAATTCTTTTCCAAAAGGATTGCACTAACAGATCAATAATATTTCTCACTATGTGTATTAAAAGTAAATTACTACTAATAAATTCAAATCATTTCTTTGAAAATATTCTTTGAACTTAATTAGTAAATTGACAAGCACCTTTTTTACACTTTAATCAAATTTGCAACGGCGCTTCTCTCAATATTATCCAGCTTTTTTAAACATAAATTTAAATATTATATTCGGAAGAAGGAAAAATATTTATATATTTTCAAACGGTAGGAAATAAATTTGATAAACTTTCTTTTTGTCCAATCTTTCAGTATTAGATTTTTTGCAAAGTAAATGATGGCCGAACGATGAAACTTCGACATTATTGACAAAATAAACAACGCAGTTCAACAGAAAAAAAAAACTGGCAAATTCCCCTTGAAGATGTTTTACAGAATCAAATTTAATTGTTTTGTAGCAACAATTTGTGTTACTTAAAAAATGGGTTTTGTCACATTGTCAACATCATCCATTCATCAGCACTCTATGAATCTATATGTGCTTTTTCCATGTTTTGGTTATGAAGAAAAATTTTTTCGTCAAGTATCACTCGAAGAAGAATATGTCAGGGACGAAGAATATTTTAAGAAGCCAATGAAAGCATGTGCTAATTATTTTATTGTGTACAAGTTGGTATTTACACTGAAGACTCTGTCTGAAACTAACAAAGCCATTATTTGTTTTGAAGACAATGAAATTCTATGACCCATTTTTTCATTTCCAGAAGTTAAAATGACAGATAACGAGCTATTAAAATGTTGTATATATCTGAGAATTTGCCGCCTTTACAACAGTCTTGTGATTACTTAATAAATAACCTTATTTTTCTAATGACGAAAATTTTTCTGAAAGGATTTCCAGTTGGATTGGTAAGATCGATAAAAGTAGATCACTTTTCACAGAATAATGCAATTAATTAATTCTGAATTCCAGCGTTTTAACATAGTTCGAAGGATTCAGAGAGTTGTTAAACTTTGAGAGCTCATGTCAATAAGGAAATTTGGAAATGTTTGTGCATTATAACTGAGTAAAAGATTGGAAAGTGAGGAAATGCTGGAAAATCACCGGAAATAAAGTGGTGATAAATGGAAATAGTCGTATAATTTTAGCGGGTGTGATTCACTTAGAGATTTTGGCAAAAAATTTTATTCGCAGTGAACCGTTCGGATTATTACTTTTGGGAATTGGCTGTAATTGATTTCATTTATTTCATTATCTGATGAACATATTTCATTACTTTGGATTTCTGTTTTAAAAGTCATTTTCTTCAACAGTAAACGAACAAGTTCAACAAGTCTTAAATCAATAGACCAGGTGATTTCAACCGCAGTTATCATCTAGTGTTATCAAGATTCATATCATATTTTCACATTCTATAGAAACATAAATGCAAACAAATAAGCAATGGTGGACCTCATTAATTTTCCCTGTCAGCACTAGTAAAAACTGTGCACATAATAGCATTTGCACAATTAATTTTTCTTTGATCGACAGATTTCGAATGCTGATATCTTGAAGGATAATGCCGATTCTGTTTGAATTCACATTCATAAATAAATATGTTAGCATCCCTCTAAGTTCGGAAATTTCTATTTCTTCCGGAAAACGAAATTACTACATTCGCTTCTGATCAAATCAGTAATAAACTGTCCATGTCCTATTATTGTATGTTACCTCGAAAGGGACACACGCATGATGTCGACAATAATATGCATATTTCAAAGCCATAATTAATCGGTAGTGTACTAGGAGAAGTGCAAAACACTTCACGCTTACACTGCGATACTGTTTCTTAGCAGTCCACTTAATAGAGGGATGGACAATAGTAGAGGACAAATACATTCATCATCCTCATGTCCTTGCATTGTGCTTCGGATTGGACGTACGGTCTTGGTGATCCCTCTGTTACTGGTGGTACCAGTTGCCGAGCATCAGTTGCAAAACTAATTCAAATTAGCATATCAATTTTTCGGAATTTTCATATGAGAATAGTCAAGAAGTTGAAATGCAAACAACAATCACGCAATGAATCACACTTTTCGACTGAACTTTTTCCAATCATTTGTTGATCTTTCAGATCAGTATTTTTTTTTTTAATAGAAACTAAAAAAAAGGCGAAAGAATTCGTGAGAATTCTCTCGATGAAAATTTGTTTTCTGTCTTAAAAATTTTTAATTCAGAAAACTAATGTTTTGGTGACACTTTTTAAATCTTCCAAAATTTGCTTTAAAAAAAAAAGCAAAAAAACAAAAAACAACTTCTCCTAATTCCAGTAGTTGAGGAAAAAGAAGAGAGAGAGGAAGGTTTTTCTTTGTCTGTTATTAATTGACAATGCTTGCAAAATAATGACCTGAGAGATCCCTGGTTTGACCAGCTTTTCTGTCTTTGTTATTATTGATCGAAAATTTCACGGTCAATAGTTCGTCGATACTTTTCTGGAGACTTTGGTTGTTTAGAATAATTGTGACAATGATGACAAGTGTGTATTGCTTGCAGAAAAATGGATAAAAGTATAATAATTATGATCTACTCTATTCTTGGTATTATCAAGGTTTGATGATTAAGAGCAAACTGTCAATTTACGGATTAACAAGTAATGATAGTTTGTCAATTTGTTCTTCTTTAGGAGAAAGACGAATGAAAACACGTGCATCAGTAATCCGTAAATTAGTGTAAAACAAATAGTGGTAGTATTTAGATCCGGTATAACAAATTAGCTTGCTATTGAACTTTGAACTCGTCTTTATAAAAGTGAAGTAATTTATCATGATAGAAGTTCTAATAAATTTTGGTACAGAAAATTTCATGTGCACTGTTGACATGAAAAATGCATGGACAAATAAATCTTTTTAAGCATTTGGGTATTCCAGTATATGTTATGTAACTATTAGAAGTATTAGTCATGAAAGTTTTCATTTTAATCTATTCATAACCATTGGATGTTTTTACTAACTGATTAGTACTGCTCATTCCGCTAATTAAAAACAATAATTGATGAATTTAATTCTAATCCTTGTTTTGTCCAACTGAATCTGTGGTGTGCTCGAAATATCTGAAAAGCAATCATTTTTCTTCGTTGATTCATTTCATTCAATGAAATTTGTTTGCTTTAATATTTTTTCCTGAAGCCAAAGATTGTCAAAAGTCTGTTTGTGACCTAAAATTAATTCTTCCATTTCACAATATAATTAGCTTTTTTCTTCATAAAATCGGCAAAAAATAATTAAACAAACAATGCTGTTTCTTTTCAATTTTTAACTAAACTGAAAGTTATTTGAATTATTTCATGAAACAAAACAATCCCTCACAGAAAACGACGAAATTTTGTCCGTTCCAATTTTTAATGTGTTACTGATTGGCCGTTAAAACTTCGTTTGGCTCCATTCTATGCTCTTTCATTTCACCGAACTTTATTTGAAGATACGATCAGCACAAATCTGCTGCAGTTTATTAGCGCAGCGGGAGAGAGGGACGATGTTCGTTTAGCGCATCTCTCTGATAAATCCATTTCCAAACTGTCCCTACAATAACAATTGCACTCGTTATCGTTATCTGATCGATTACATCTGCTTACGTAACTTCTTGTCTTGTCTCTCTTTCAGTGGTACTTGTTCAGGATTAATGACATATTAACATTACTTATGACATGATCGCTTATGTATATTGATATTGAACTACAGCCTTTGTTGAGAGATAAAAATATAGTTTGATCTAAAAATTGTTGTACAGTTTACAGTAAATGAGCAAGAGTGAATATTCTATATTTACAAAATAATTTTGGCAATTTGTTTGTAAAGACAGCGAATCATCTCAAACAAAGCGAACCCTTCGATGGTTATTAGATAGTTTCTGATATTATGCAACATTTAATCCATGTGAATACCAGATAAAGATGTATGCTGGCATTTGACCTAAGTTAGAATGGGAGCAGATCCAGGATACTAGTTTTTATTCTTTGCTGATACATCACTGATTCATGTTACTCAAAAAAGATCAATTCAATTACTGTTTCATATTATCTATATATTGTCCCAAAAATATCAATGTAATAGTAATCCCTGAAATGCTCAAGTAAATATTCGTCAAAATCAAATCTGTCCACCTTTCCTAATAGATTATAAAAAGGAATATCGGATGACTTCAATTACAGCTGTTGTATTTCCTCATGTCTCCATTTTAAAAATGCGGTAACGGGACAAAATAATGGGTTTAGAGTAAGAGAATAGGAAATAAGGCAATCAACACCGGCATTAAGAAACACTGTCTTACCTAACCAATCATTTCGAAAGGTAATTTCTCGGACTTTCTCATGTCAATTCGATAATTTTCAGTTTCATGGCAACCACTTTAATGATAAATCCAATTCATTGTTTAATTATCAGAAAACTGAAATGGATAGGTTGATAATAATCTGCATAATATTCATATAAAAGACATTAAAAGTAATATATGCGGGTGATTGTCATTCAGAGTCACGCTGCTTTATTTGTTATTAGTCGATTACTAATTATATTGATGTATGATCCCTTTATGGGCATAGGAAACACAGGCATTCATTAATATAATACAGTCTATGACTGTCTGGGATTATTGGATTGATGCTGGTTAAACTAGGAATGATGTATTATCAGATATCGGGCGGTAGTGGTTCGAGTGGTCATTGAGCTATTTGCGTCTGTTTCACCGAACTATTTACATTCATTATTGTTATTATCGCTCACTTCAACGTGATAACTTTCGTAACAATAAGTCCTGCTTTAGCACCTTGAAATATGATGGCTTCATATCTATTAAGAAGTTAATTCGATTATTAAATTGAATTTCACTTAATTTGGCTTAATAAAGGTATTTTTCACAAGTCAAGTGCACAATTCAACTTTTCAGAAATTGTTTATTTAATGTCCTAAAAATTTAGCATCCTAAAAAAATTGTCGTATTTAAAAACCTGATGTGAAAGTTTAAAGTTCTATTCTATTTATAACGACCGCCAATAGTTTGGATATTACTCATCCGCTCTGGTTCCATTCGTCAGGTAATTAATTATCCGAAAAAAAAAGAAAAACTTTCTGCAGAAGATAGCGATCTGTTCAAAATTCGCTTGCATTTATTTAGTGATGTTGCAAGTTGTTTACAAATTTACCACGAATTTACGTCCACATCAAAGTTGCACAATTCCTTCTAACTTTTTTCTAAAATCATCTCTTACAGTTAGATAAAAAGGAATATTAATTTTAAACAGTGCAAAACAATCCTTTCATTGTTTGATAACGAACCTTACTGCAGCAATCTTCTGTAATCTCGTTTTGCAATTAGTAATAGGACCGCTTATGGCTCTGTTTCGCTATAGGTCAATTTCAAAGGTCACTTATCTTTCTGAAGTTTGTATTCCCTGCATGATTTTTCTCAGTGCAATAAGGGTCACTAACAGTTCAATATGTTGTAAACACAAATTTTTGATATCGCAATTTGCATAGCATTACTTGCAAGTCACCGATCGATCTCTTTGCGAGGAAATAGATGAGGGTGCAAGGATCTTTCAATATTTGAAGCAATTTTAATGAATATTTGAGGCTAAATAATAACTACAAATCAATTCAGTGATAACAATTGATAATAGGTCATGATACAAATTATGATATTGAGGACTACTCATCTCGAAAGTTGTAGATGCATGTCTTTGAATCATGTTTTCCACAAAATATACATGGTTAATGGAAGCTATAGATGTAAACAATTAGTTGATCATGATCAAAGATATAGCAAGAATGATTGCTGATTCTGTAAAACGACTTAATTTACTGATTTTGCCAATAGAGTTTCCATAAATTGAAGAGATATACTGCCTCAAATAAAAAAAAAGAAAAAAGCAATGTTTTATGTGAACCTAAAATATTGTTACGATCGATTGGATTTGAACAAATTTTGTTGCGCGCATGTTGATGAAATGCATACAGCTGCATGAAAATTAAATATCCGTAGTCAACAGGTCATTATTTTAACAATAATTGAGAATCAAAGATGTTTATAATACTTTAGTTTTATACCTGAAATACCTTATATACTTTCCTGACATTATGTTATTAATCTAAGACAAAACTAACTGTACACTGCCGTATTCTGCACTTTGAAGATTTCTGGATTCTATTAACATTTGAGGCTCTCGGATTCAGGTTTACCACGGGTAGCAGGTGATGCATGCATATACGCCACTTTACTTTTATGAGAGCATTTGCGCAAATAGATCCAATCTCATTGGTTTCACAAAACCATCATAGCTATGGTCGTTCTAGCCAATTTTATAGCCCATCGTTGTATTTCCCAATTAATGTTTCTTCGTTATGAATCAATGTTAATCTAAGGCAGTGAGTCTACTATTTCTTGTTGACATTCTATGATATATATTAGGATTCATGAAACATTGTATACTTTGTGTCCCTTCTGTCATTCGTCATACAAGAATGAACATTTCCATACTGATAATCAAATTATAAGAAATAGCTATCAATCTCTAATTATAACTATAAGCTCTCTATTGCTAATTCAATCATTTATACATTAAGTCGCAGTTCATGTAATGGTACCAATAAATAAAAGCATTCAGCATATATTAGTAACTATTTGCATCTATCGTAATCTAATGAAATCTTGCAAAATGCAAATAGTCATTAACATCAGGATACCCGTCTCTGAACAAGTTTAATGACCAAATTGTTTTTTGGCTCTGAAAATTTTTCCAGTAATGAGCAAGCTTCGCCTGCATATAGTGGATATAGAATATAATTATTGCACTACCACTATTGATCATATCGTAGATTCCGCCATCACTATATCAGATGAGAAATCAGCAAAATAAAATTTGATTCATGTAATTCTGAAGAAGTGAAATATATTTCGCTGAAATAATCAATAAGTGGATTCTGTATATGCATATTGTCTTTATTACATCTATCATTATTTTGAAGAGATTTTAGATGGTGGAAAAGAGGAACAATTTTTAAATCATAGAAAATTAATTCGCTTGCAGTGAATAGCTAAAAAACTCTTAGAAATCTTATCCGAATGAAGAGGGAAAAAGGAGGGATCGAGGTGCACCTGCCTCCAAAATGATATCCGTTACTCAACATCTCTCCCAACCAATTCATTCATGATACCTCGTATTTTTCTACTAATAATAATATCATTTCTGATTCTTCACACATGCATCAATAAAGACCACTTAAGTACCACTTAATTTGAGATTTCTTTTTTATACACTCAATTTCATTCGAATGGTATGATATGTTATGGAAGTACAAGAATTTTAGTTATTCCATATTGTCTCAGTTGATTCGGCTAAATAGTTGCTAAATTAAATTTAATTGCTAATCATAATTGTTTAATGATCGATCAATTCCTTAATTTTCATTTCTCTAAAGGTGCAATTTAAGATCACATGATGGATGAAATTGTATAAATTGATTTCAATTAAAATATAATTTACAAATTCTTCCTTTCTGGGAAAACAACCAAAATGCAAACATTGTGGAACTACTGATCAGATGGGTGAAGCATAATTGTAACCGAAGTATGTACCTATGTTGGGAGCTTTCTTGAGTGCATGGGAATTGTACAATCAGTTTAGATGAAATATGAGCTATGGCACCAGGAGGTCTACCTACCGCTTATCCCTAAATTACGCTCAATTTCTTCCTGCGCATATGGTAATGATGATAAAATCAGTAAAGCATTGAATGACAAGCGTTGAATAGTAATTTGTCTTATCTTATTGATGGCTATTTAGCGCGAATTAAAATCAAGATAATTTCTACACTTACCATCCTTTTTCTACTAGTTACAAAGTCGTATTAATGATAAAATCCTATCAATGATAAAGTCGTACTAGTGATAAAATTTTCGCAGGAATCGCACGGAATTTTAATAATTTCAGTAGCTTTGCGACTTTTTTCTAACAATTGCCTTTGGCATATTTCAATAAATGTTGTTTGAAGTTCCAGTAAGATTGACTCATTTGATGACATTAACCAATGATCAATGCTAGATCGTCGTTGGAGCGATGGACACTGACCTCCGAATAGTTTATTTTAATTCAATTGTTGTTTTTTGAATGCTACGCCGTTGTAGAAGGGTAACAACAGTTCGATAATGAGGCCAACTATTATTATAACACACTCTCGTGCGAAGGGCCATAGCTCAGCATGTGGTAAAGGTAAAAGTAGGGGTAGTGCCTGTGTCCCATTGTTGCCAGTCATCGAATTGATTCATTGTAATCAAAATTTTTTATAATCAAACTTTTTGCATTGCATAAATGGATTTCAGATTAGAGCACAACATTTCAATTTATAAATTACTTATGCAATGATGTAGTTGTAATTTACAAAAGCAATTTAGTTGTTTTCATTTTTGAAATTCGAATATAGACAAGATTAAACTAATAATAAACAACTAGTACAATTCTATCTGCATCACGTCCTGTACCTTTCACGGGATATAAGCGTAACTGATCGAGATTTTAAATTGGTTGGTGATCTCTGCCACTGATCAAAATTAAATATTAATTTGATTCATCCCTTTCATGTTACAATGTTAAATGTTATTTCAGATTTTACAGCGTATATTCTGAAGAGATGGAATAGAGGATGAGGAAATATGCCCTAACTTTGACCAAATATTATTATTAATTTCACAAATATGGAAAATTATTAAGTTTTTATTATTTCAAAAAAGAAAAAATGAAATGATTTGGAAATCAGTCGCGAATTCATTGATTATTGTAAGGTTCTAGTTAGGATATAATCAATTGATGCATCATTTAAATACAGATCATAGTAAGGCTCAACAAGGAAAGCAATTTATGCTAGCTCATAATTAGTAAGTTGCATCATTACCGTTTCCTTCTTTACAATACGTTCCACAAAATTGTTTCTTTCTGTTTGTTCCATCCAAATTTGCAGTAAAATTTGAATAATTACAGATATAAAGAACATTTATAGTGTCCTATGCAATTTACGTGATATAGCTGTGCATTACGCAACTTAGCATTGCACGAAATGAACGGAAGCATCTGCAGCATTTTTTATTAATTTATTTATTATCTATTGCACTTAACACCTGACGAATAAAAAAATTGCCAGAATGGGGTCAAGCTGTCATGATAGATATTAATTTAAACTTCAAAATAAATTTTTAATAGGACAACAACTTTTTTGTATACTATTGTACTAAGTATCATCATGAAAAGTACTTCACGAAAAAACAATGATCAACACATAAAAGGTATAAAATCTTAGAAGTAATTTATTGATTGATTGTAAGTTTTAAGTTGATACATATTTTATAGAAATCGAAGGAAACGTCACGCATGATCTGCTCCTTGTTTATTCTGAAGTGAGGACTATCACTTGTCAAGGTGACTAAGATGTCAAAATTTTGCTCCATTAGGTGCGATTGAAAATAAGATTTGCCGTGGAGCACACCTGCAGTATATACCATTATCGTAATTATAATGTTTATAAAAAGATATGCGCCAAAAATGGTACATAAAAATAATTAGCTTAACAATCGGTTGGCTAATGTAATTTGATGGTCACTATTGAGCTACTTTTGCTTCTCAAAAGATTTTAAATTTTACATCATCCAAAACTTTCAAAGAACTCTAATTCTTTGTTTAGAAACTTAACCCAACTGTAGTAGTGCTAAAAAGAAAATATATACCAAAGGATCGTTTAATTGCAATGCTCTGAAGTAAAGATAAAGGAACAAAGGATAAATATCACGTAGTAGAGAATGAAAAAAATCGTTGCAGAAAGTTTAACACTTAGCTTGATTAATTGTTGAAAATTTTCGCTTTATTGATTAATCCAATATTACTAAAGAACAAAATGAACCATTTCCCTCTCTCTCTCTCTCTCTCTCTCCTC